ATAATAAAGCATATTTGATGCTTATCTGTTCAAGTAAGTAAACATCGGTAAATTCAATCCCAACAGCGTTTGTCAAGGGATTAGATTTTGCTTCTCATTTTATATACATAGTGGACAGCTGCTAGCCAGAAAGAGTATGACTTACTTCACTGAGATCCCAGGCTTAGTTTGGAGAGGCCAGTAGAAGCTGACTGTAGACGCTAGCATTCTGGGTTCAAAACAGTTATTTGCGAACTTTGTAGACCTGCTAGCAGAGTGTTCTGCAGCGCCTGATGCTCGTCTATATACATACGACTCCAGTATTGTTTGATTTGCACGATTTCCTTTCTTTTAAGTTCATCTTCCCGAGCACGCTAAACCGTGCACGTCCACTAACATGTTGACTGTCAATGAAACATATGCTGAAAATGAGTCATTTCTGATACATTTTTTCATGAAAGTATTCAATGGCATTTCCAGGAAGTGAAACAGCAATGTTTAGCCATGCTTCGTTGGATAATTTAACGGCTAGAGCCTTCCCTGTTTGCCTGAACTGTAGAGAACAGACTTCCGTGAGCCCATAAAGTAAAATAATACAATTTCTTGAAAAAATGAACTGATTCGAAGTTGCTATACCTACGCTATACAACTATACTGCAAGTTATTTGATAGCTGCGGCACTTGCGGCGAATCCAAACGTAGATAACATGCGAAAGATCTTTCCGCGAACCAACTCTCGAAGAGGGAGATTACCTGATAACTTGTTAAAACATAAAAACTGATACATTTCCCTAGTTTACTCCATGTTTTTAGTGACACGTGGAATGATACTTTTGGATGCTTAACAGGCACATCAGGGCTCTGTAAAAGAGTCCTATATCTGAAGCTAGAGCGCTGACTTGTTTACTGTTTCCCAAATTTCATTTTTCCAAGCTCAATCGGGAAATTTCGCCGTTTGATTTTATGTTTTCCTCATACTGAGCTGAGATTTTGGAATGCGTATTACGACTTACAATTTCGAACATCGAATTTTTCCAGTTATGGTTTAATAGTTTTTCTAAACCCATTTTAAAGCAGCACAGGCATCAGCGAATATACACTCATCTGCAAACTAATTCGGTTCTTTCGAGAGACTCACCTGGAACCCAGCTGAATCCCTCGTTCATGATGTTCTCAGGCATGTTCTCAGTTGCCTGAGAACATCATAAACGAGAGATTCAGCTGGGTTCCAGGTGTGTCTCTCGAAAGAACCAAATTAGTTTGCAGATGAGTGTATATTCGCTGATGCCTGTGCTGCTTTAAAATGGGTTTAGAAAAACTATTAAACCATAACTGGAAAAATTCGATGTTCGAAATTGTAAGTCGTAATACGCATTCCAAAATCTCAGCTCAGTATGAGGAAAACATAACACAGGCACCCTTCAAATATGACTGACTGTGTCGTTTGGATTCTGGTTACTCTGAGCTCCTTGAGAGCCCAAAGAAGATTGCTAAATCGGAGCATACGTCTGTTCTGCATATAAAACTGATAACTGCTAAGAAATGGTTCACGAGTGATGAATGTAGCTGGCAGTCCAACCCCCCGGGGAATCTTTGCTAGTGTATTGACAACTTTCAATAACACAGAGACATTTCAACTCAAAATCTTGACCATTATGCAGAATAATGCATACGGCAGACGCAAATGAATTTCAAATATTAGTATATCCATATCCGTACGTTTCTGAGTCAAAATCCGGGAGTCGGTTGATCTTGACCGGTCAGCTTCATTTTGGATCCAATTTTGCGGTGCAGGATATCAACCACTATCGATCAGTTTAGACAAGCAATTTAGACAAGACATGGAACAATGATTCCTGACTCACTCAGAAATCTATACGCGCGGGACACAGATGAATGCTTGGATAAACTTCCCTTCATTAGGCTGTTGGGAGATTGACCATTTCTTACTTGCGTTATACCTCAGTAACTATCACAAACTACCCCAGAGTGTTTCATAGGGTGCGCGGTACTGATAACCATAATAAGAATATAACAACTATACAGTGCCCATCGTCTTTTCAAAATAGGTTGGCATCACTGAAATCCCAAAACAATGTTACCAGGTCTTCCCACACTATCGATAGCCCATAGGTTATTCATCACAAGGGTCATAAATGAATAAAAGTTTGGTCGTTGACTTGTTCGCTGAGCTGGGCAATTCGGCAATAAAAGTTTCAGCTGGCAAGTCATCGCATCTAGGAGACAATCAATTTGTGATCACGTGATTGCGGATGAGCGAAAGTTTATCTCGTATAAACGAGAGAGCTTGTCACAATGCTGTTCACTCGCGAATGCACCAAAAATTAAGTGTTCGGTCATTGATGGGACGTTTAACGATTCATTACTCTAGATTTGGTGAGAGGTGCACTGTCCGGAGTTGCAATCTTGATGAAATGGCGACAATGTGCCCCTCGGGATTTCAGTATTATTTTGAGTACACTTGTAAGACGAAACTTCAAATAAAGATAAGAAAATCTCCATAAAATATCAGCTGATAAAATGTCTGTATATTGTTGAATTTCATTTTTTTTGCATCTCTGTTAATAGAGAGAAACTTCAACGGCACTAAACGCTAACCATTAGCAAAGGTTTGGAGCTACCGCACACTTTAGTATAAGAAGAAAATGAGTTGACTGGTTAGTTTAGGCTAGTGCCATTCTGACTGCCTCACCGTCTCAGTGAGTCAGCTGCAATGTCACAGAGCAAGTTGGTTCGACTTGCGAGCATTTAATTGGAGAGTATTTCGCTGGAGAAGACAAAAAATGAAAAAATTCACCCTTCAACTATCCAGGTCATGGCGAACAGAAGACAATGAGACTTACAAATCACTTCAGCCGTGTGTGTTGTGGCTCACGACGTTCGTATTAAACGATCATCGATGCTCTATACGCCGTACTTACCTATTTTATACGCAAACACATCAACTGCAGGTCTGCACCGTGAGTATTTACTAAAGCTTGGCTCTTTGTGAGTTTGGAACATCCATGCTTAGTTTCCATATATGTTTTACCCGGCGCTTTACTTCCTGAACAGCCAGCGTTCTTTTTTGGTGCCTTGAGGGGTTTCAACCAATTAAACAATGCAAAATTTAGCTCACTGAGATCAACGATGGGGACGTCAACGTTATCAGGAAAGTTAGGGAAGTCAGCCTTTGTAAGAATGTGTGTATCATTCTCGGTTTTTCCGATTCACTGCAAGTCAAATTACAGGAACTTTGCAGTATCTGACTTACTTATCAGAGACATAAATTGCTTTCCCCTGAGGTCCAGATTATCCTTTCAAATCGATAAAATCTAATGGACCAGCATTCCGGTTTGATATATACGCAGAATTTCTTCTTAGTGTTAACCCTGAGGCTAAGTCCTTCTTGCAAAGATCATTCGACATCGACACCATGATCAGTATCTATCATCTTAACTTTTCTAACTGTGCAGTTTCCTGATGGTTAGCAACACTTTTCTGGGAACGCGTTCTCCTTCAAAAATGGCGGTCTATACAGGGTCACATTCCGTCAGGCATCCTTGGTAGAATTTTACTAGGAGACTGTGATGGGTTAAGGAGACAACAAGGCCCACTTAACAAGTACTATGAATGTAGGGGCGACAGTCGAATTTGTAATTGAATTATACCATTTGCAGATGCAGTTTCGGGGACTGGCCTACTAAATAACTAAACCTCCTGAGCATGAGAAGCAAACGAATAACGATATGTTATTCTTATTTATGATTGTAAGAAATCTGAATGAGAGGCCGTTGTAAACTTTATGTATAACTACTTCCCCGAACCTAAGCATGTTTAGTACAAAAAAGAAAACCACACACGTCAAGTGTGAGCCTGAGTAAAATTCTTATTCACAGTCTTGGACGGAGACTTTCAATCTTGCAGCAGGTTCAATTCAAAATTTCCTTCGTGAACTAAAATTCGGTTGCTTTATCGTTGTGCGCTTTGACTGAGCTGGCATCAGTAAATTCTGTGAAACACTTCACTCCGTAAAATAAACCCAGACACCTTCTAGGTGAACAGCTATTCATGTTGAGCGAGCGATGTGTCTGGAATCAACAATTTTAAAAGCTTTTCCTGTTGCACACACCCAATTATACCAAATATGCGTTTGAAATTGTTCTCCGTGGTCGCCCATCAGTAGACGTTCCCATAGCTTATGGAATTTCGGCCAAACACAATCGTGTAAATTTGTTAGAACAGATCAAACTGTAGTCACATATTTTGTTGTGATCCGTCTATTCGAAAGTGAGGAACAGTTGATATTCAACAAGCTTTATTTCACAAACAACTGCACTCGGCTCATTTGAAGTCCTTGGGTACTTTTTATGAATTTTCAATTTTTGCCGGAAATTGAATGCAGACAAACGGCATTCCGTCAGTTCTTAAAAGTTGCCATCGGATTTGCATTAGGCGCTGAAACAGAAAGCAAGCTAAAGGTCGGAGGCGCTGGAAACAAACACAGAATACGATGGCGGTTGTGCATGTCATACGCGTACACAAACGTGGATAAAATAATCTCATTTAAAAAGACTATGATGATCTCATCGTTTTATCTTTGTGCCGCCAAAAAAAACAGAAAAAGCTTGAGAGTTTCTATAGCCGCAGATCGGGTTTGTTATCGACGTAAGTGACATCTTATTTTGCCGTTTAATATGAAACCCTCTACTACCTGTTCCAAATCCACTCAATGTTTTCATGCAAGTTAGGCTGGCAAAACACTGGAAATCAGTGAAAAACATTCCTGTCATCAAAGATACAACCTTAAACAGAGCAACGCCTTTAATTCAGAATGGTATATACTCCTATGGATTCCCATATATCTTATATATTGAACAGTCTTCATCTGTGTATCCTGTGGTGCATTCTTTTGTTGACGTATATTCTTCCGGTAAAAGAGAGATGAGCGCAACTTCACCGGCTTAGCCTGCCATATGGAATGGGAGGCAATCCAAATAACCACTTTCTGTTACTTACCGTTGGAAGGCCATGGGATATCGCAGTTGTATAGCTGTATTTGTATGTCCCGCCCGGTCTAATTGGGCAGGGGGGATCCAGATGCCCGCATATTAGTGATCCACGAATTGGGAGAGATTTGATAACACCATCGTAGACCACCTCTAAAAGAGCATCTTCGCCTCGGATGTAAGCACCTGACAAGAGGAGAAATCGTCAGTTTTAGTGTTTGGATTTGAAGCCACGCCATCGATCCATGAAGAGAACCGACATTAAACATATTAGTTTTGGGGTGAAATTCAGCCTAGTCATGTTCTCTAGACTGAGTGACTACCAAACAATTTTTGACACCAACCTGTGAGCTTTTACTCTTGGGTCCGGTCTTAGTATTCCCGTCATACTTGCGAAAAATATGGTAATGTGTAAAGTGTGAGATAATACAGGATGCAGAGCCCGGCAAAGTACTCAAGGCAACTCCGAACAGTGAAGACTAGAAAAGCAGTAGCATCATTCATGACATTCTGAAGCGCAATTTTTCCTGTAGACTACACAGTTTCTATGTGATCTTTTCATATGTTTGGAGCAATCATTTATTTTAACGCGCCCGATCTAAACTGGAGTTTATCCCGAATGGAATTTATAACTTTTAATGTATGCTGGTGGGTTCTAAGCGAAGTAGTTCACACGTCATATGTTCATGTGTACAGTATTTCTCAGCTTTTGTGTTTTGAAGCAGAAGGATGTTCGCAAATTATCAACTGTCATTTAAGATATGAGTAAAGCCGAAAATATAAACTGGGATCTGCATGCAAAAATACTCACTTGCTGTAAATTTTATTTCAATTGCGTAGGGTTTCCCTTTAAGCAGAACGCATGGAAGAATATTACATGGAGTGATCTTGACTGACACCACAGCGGAGTCTCTCGAACCTGAGTAATAAAGGAAAGAACAATGGAGAGATTTAAGAGGCATATGTGCATGAGCTGTTTAGGATTCTGCCTAAACTATCCCGGGCAGTATGTGGCTAACCGTAACATATTAATGTTTAGCACTATAACATTGGAGATGATGGTCATTTTGCTTATTGTATCGTGATGCGTCGATCAACAGCAAAGGTCAGAAATCCCAATTGTTTCGTCTAATATTCCACCTCCTGGAGGTTCCCCACTAATAAGTTACAAAGTGTAACTGATGTGAAGTCAACTGTTTTCAACGACTGGTGGGAGAGCCGAACCATTACACAAGCATTACTAAAGTAGAACGTTCGCACAGGGGCCAATTCGAACACCAAGTGGCCAAAGAATCCACGGTTTGGAGAAAATACTACTGCAGATAATGGTTACAGTCTACATATGTATAAAACCCAGAACACCTTTCCAGTGGGTGCATTAACCTGGAAAACGTTCACAAAACTAACCACAGTCCTCAAAATTGATGAACATCGCATAAGAAACCGTACAGCTGAATAAAGCGCAAGTCATCAGGTTGAGGGCGTTCATCTTCCGTACGACAGAAATCACGCTGGCTCATGGCTCTAAACCGTATTTCCAAGGGTTTCTATAGATTATGCAGTCATTAATCTGGGTTTATTCAAGGCTGTTCCAACACTGAGACAGGCGTTGGTTTTCCATGGCCTAAGACCAAATTATGCAAATGCGTGCCTGCTTACAAGTACATTTTTCACGTGGATTATCTCGAGCATCTTAGATATCATCAAGGTCAATCGGTCACACCATAAAAGATTACCAACTGTTCTATGTGATTTGATGAATGCCTAACTTAATGGCCCATAGTGCTCATAAAACTGAGGGGATTCTGATCAACGAGACCATGTGGTTTAATGTTATGGTCAAGGCGATCAAAATGAGCAACCAAGAAACTTTAACTTAGCCTTATTCACGGGAAACAAGTGTAATGAATACTCACTGGTAAATCCGAGAGTATTCAGCAAGCATTTGCATGTTGGATCTATTTCCAAAAAAACGTATACCCCTAATCATTTTTAGACGATTCATCTGCAAAGTTTCATCCCGCCTACTGTATGAAAGGTCGTATGTGATGCGTATCAAAACCAAATTTGCAGTGTTCAGATGCAAAGTTTAGGCAAAAACAAATGCGTGCGTAAAAATGTATTGCAACGGAATCCCCGAACGTAAGCCTATCCAGGAACATGACGGCACAACAGAACGTCGCAATAACCCACCGGCGGTGTGGTTTTCGTTAACTCAGGCCAAATTATTCTAGAGGTGGCGTTTGTATATCAGTGAGTTTTGATTTAGTCCCACCCCGAAAAATAACAGGACCGATGCGGATTTAGCAAACTTTTTGCGGGAAATCTCCGGTTCGTTGTTTTTTTTTCAGAATGCATTCGCAAATTTGAGGTGTTTGCCCTAGTGATGCAAAGTAGGTATAACCAGAGTAACACTCAAATAATGAGGACGGGACCGAGTTTTTAGACTCTTTCGCCCATAAATGGTTATCTGTATGGAGTCCACTTCTTACACAAGAACCCTAGTCTCATGCTTAACTAAGCTAAACTTAACGCATTGTTATGTAGAAAAGCAAAAACTGTTCTGGAACACAACGCGTAGAATGCAGGAACAGCTCAGATTATGGCTCAGAACCTCTAGCAGAATACGAAGCGTATCTGCAATTAGCGCACGCAAATTTTTTTCGGCTAAGCCACCCGGGGAGCGACACCAAAAATAATTCGTTAATAAAGCTTGGTGTGCCATAGTGAGTTGCAATTTTGCCACAGGTTTGCTCAAACATACATCTGTGTTGTTAAAAAACAATGTTGTTGGATGTATTATCGCTCGATTCAGTTGGAAACCAAAGCCCAAATTTTAAATGCTTTGCAATGCAACAATCTCAAATTTCCTAACAAACAAAAATGATGAAACTTTGGGTCTTGATCGAACTGGATAGAGCAACACCAAGCGGCGTTATTTACGGTGCGCTGTAAGTGCTTGCGAGAATCCTCCATGAAAGAGTTCTTTTGACACTTCCTAATGCAAAACGTGACGTATTTTTCATTGCTGGCGCCATCTCTTTGAGGCTTTTGAGGTAACGTGCAAGATTTTTACTGAATGTTTTAGCTCATGTAGTGTACATCTAATTATCGTTACTTGCGTAACTGTGATACTACTGATGAGGAGGCATGCGAGTAGTATGTATTGTTCGTGGAATTTCGTTTTGCGTCTTTTGAAAAGGAAAGATCAGTTGCGGAATTTGTGGAGTCGCTTTGGAAGATCTGCTTGGATTTGAGCTATGAATGATTTGAGTCAGTGGATATCCAGGAAAGTTCAAGAAGTTGCGTTCAGGGGAAGATGGATGTTCAGTTTTTGTAAAATAGATGCAAAGGAGAGCTTTGCTTCCCTGTTCACTGGTCTGTAACCGGTCAGTTGGCACTTCCCAATAAATAAATCCGCAGCAGAGGTCTTTTGCCTTTCACTTGTATACAAGAAACTTTGCTGTGGATAAGGTAGAAAACGTATGGAAAAGGCTCCACGATTAGCCTGAAGATATCACGAGACTTGTGGATGGAATGACAACAACAAAATTAAGAATATCGAACGGGCTCTCTTCGCGAATAACTTGTTGAGAACGCGACGTCAAAGGGATTCAAAAATCAGAATTGTAACATACGTTGCTCGCTATTTGTTCTTCTAATGTTTGGAAAACCCAAAACTGATTTTTCTGACAGAGATTTGGCATTATTCTGCGAGTAGCGGCAAATTTTAGAAAGCTTGTATATTGTGTGGTGGATAGGATATTAGTTGCAGCCGATGGATTGTTGAAATGCAAACGTGACTGATTCCTTAAGCCATTGTTTCGTAGATGGTCAAGTGCGTTGAAAATGCGGGACACCGTTTAGTGATTTCCATGGATCCGTCAACTTTAAGAGTAAAGCTGAGATCCTCCAATTTACATTTCTACAATGTTCTTAGTAAACGTCAGAGAATAAACTTAAAGTACAGATTATATATATTACGTTGTGCATGTTATTATACAATATGCTATATGTATGGTATATATATTGTATCGTATATATAGACTATAGGTACATATAAGGCTACTATGCGCGACGAGCTTACATCGTTAGTGTTAACCTGCTGGGACTTTTGTTTCAATGTAGCAGGTTTAGGTTGAATCGCTAATAATCCGGTCAGTTGGGATCGCGTTTACGTTGATTGAGACATTCTGATATCTGGTTTGCTTCGCCGTGCTGCACTGCACAACGATGTCTAGAAATAGGAGAATCGTGTTTACTTTATTTTCCAAAACGGGCACAACATTTCGGCATAAGGAGGGTTAATGTGGATTTCTTGCACGGTTGATGATAAACTCGTGATTACTGAAGTGATATCAATTCAGCGGTAATAAGTACTCATCTTGTGGTCCACATTTTTGACTGTTCTACAAATGCCACAAACTTGGTACTCAACTTTGAGACGGTCCGAATTCTCAAAGCGATCTCATCTGGTCCACATAAAAGGAGTCATACTTATCATGCGTAACGGAATGAGACCTTGGTGTAGTGTGAACTGTAGTCTCAGCAGTCGGGACATTGTTTTGCAAGGTAAATAGAAGTACCTGCACGACGCAGCTAAATGCGATATGGCTCCATCTTGTGCACATGAAGCGGGAATATCCTTGAATACGATAACAGTAAAGTTCATGATTTGAGATAGAGAAATATTATTGAGCTGGGATAACCGGTTGTAAAAGACGAAACTGTTCTATGGTGCAGGTTGTCATATAAACACAATTCAATAGACTTCACCGGGCAACTGATACGTAGTCCGCCGGCTTGCGCATTTGTGAAGATTTTCAATTCATATGTGGTCAGTGTAGAACAAATGGTTTTACGACACTTGGAGGAAACAAATCAGTTTCAAATGCGTAAAGGGTACGAAAAGGGATAAACAAAGGCACATGATAAATTTAGAGTGCATGTTTCGCGCCTGAAAGCATGAGCCAGAACTACCAGTTATGTGCCGGTCTAGAGAGCGACTACACAGCTGTAACCGGCTTTGAAGGCAATGTTGGATTTGGATTGCAGCGGAGTCACAGAGATGTAGGAAGCTTCGTGCACGAGAGAATGTACAGAAAGTCAAACATTTGAAATGGTCAGAAAAAAGTGATTTAAACGAATGTCGTTTCATACATCAATCTGTAAGTGGGCATGTACGCCTAGAGACACGAATCAGGGATCGAGCATAAAGTAAAATTCTTCTCAACTATTCTTGGAAAGAATGCGGACAAAGAAATAAAGATATAGACCTCACCACAAGTCTTTAAATGCGAAGCAAATCAACGATAAGCGAGCGCAAAGCTAGACTTTTTAAGCCGTCAGATAGTGTATGAACCTGTCGCCTCAGGCCATATGGCGGAAGCCGACACCATGAAGACTACCCCTAATACAGTATGCTTCACCGGCTGCTACCCACTAGTTTCCAAGCTGAGCTCCCAGAGACCCTAATAGCACCAGGTGTTCCAGAGACACAGAAAAATGTGGCAAGTAAAAGTGTTTCTTGCAAAACACTAGTTTAATGCCACGCAGTTTGCGCGCCTCTGAGAGTCCAGAAATTGAAGGATATTACAATTGTACTTGAGTATACAGACAATGAGTCACACTGTGGAAGGGACGTTAATGCAGTTTAACTGTTATCTTACCCGTTCAGTTGCACTCGTTTTAAACGGCTAAAGAGGTGCTATGCTGAATCAACCTCTGGGCACCTCCAGAAAACATTTGAAAAGTCTGCCTAACCTGTGTTCCATTCTATGGTTGACAAATCAACAGCGTTTGGTAAATTTGCAGTGGCCACTCATGCAATTTTCGAGGTGGTTAGAAACTTTCAACTTTCTTAATCTGTGTTTAATTAATTTCTTAATCGCGGAAATGTCATTGAAGGTTGGTTCATAG